TGACGTTTTTGTTCAATAAAATAGGAACTGCAATAATGAAATTTTTAAAACTGTATTTCATTTGCATAAAGTTCTAAACGGGGGTTTGTGGGTGTGGGTGTGTGTCACTTTATAAAAACTACAATTCATCCATTCCACATCCACATCCACATCGTCAAGAAAACATTTCTTCGATACAAAGACAAAAGAATCACTAAGAGCTTCTTTGACGACCGCAATGACTGAAAGTAAGTTTATATGATTCAATTCAATTCTGTTTCATGTCGTTGAACGTGTACCTTTAGATCTTTCTCAAGCAAAAACGTCCCAAAACTTCTCATTACAGAAACATTATGTTTGTCGATTTATTACCTGTGATAATCGATGTAGCGGAAGCCATGATAATAGTTGTGGTGCTCCTATTGTATATGGTTATTCCAGTCGACTTTATGGTTACCGAGTGTATCGTCGTTATGGTCTTCACAAAGGTCAATGCGGCACATGTCTTTCTAACTGCAGTGATAATGATCATCACTATAAATGTATGAGATGTGGACATGTTTCCTGCTATAACTGCTGTTTTAAATGACTGTAATTATTTTCAAATAAAATATTGTTTTTCTTTGATGAATGGCTAGGCTTAATCATTCCAGGTTACACTAATATATTAACAACTTTTAACGAATGGATGGGTAGATGTGGGCGTGTATTCTTCTCATTCATTAAACAGTGGCGGATCCAGGGATTTTCGAAGGGGGGTGCGGTTGAGCAAAGGGGGGTGCGGATACGATATAAACTCAATATTTCTGCGGAAAACTGCTAAAAGTTAGCATAAAATTGGCTTTAAAGGGGGGTGCGGCCGCACCCTCCGCACCCCCCCCCCTGGATCCGCCCCTGTCATTAAACACATCCACACCCTCAAGATATTTATCATAGTCATCAATTATGCAATGTATTTATTGATATGAATATAAAAGAAAAAACAAAATGGAAATATGTTTCTTTGAAAGTCGTAGCAGGTTTATAATTTTTCGAGAACACCAATAATACTTTTAGCACATTTGTTTGGGCAACAATATTTCTGGCCAGTTTCGCTAAATCTGCAGATGCCACCATTTTTCTCGCATGTATTTTCCTCGTTGTTACAAGAAATATTCAAAGCTTCACCAGACTCACACGGATTGCATTGACAGTTGTGACAACCATTGCTGTCTGGAATAACATAACCATATTTACAATATCTCTTACAAAACAGATCTTGGCATGATCCTGGTTTTTCTGTTTGTCCAGCAATCAAGATGCTACTATAAAGTAATACAACGTATAGAAGGAGTAGTTTCATCGTGTATAGTGAAAGAGTGTGTGTGTGATTCTAAAATGAGATTCCGTTTTATACGAAGCTGTTATTTTTTTTCTTTTACTTCCTTTCTTTCTTAATGCTAGTATTGAAGTGTGGTTTCGTTCTAATCCCATGTATTAAAAAACGTGAAACCCCTGATTTTCATCGATTTTTCGATGATGAAAAATCGATTAAAATTTAAAAAATCGATTAGAATATATCATTTTTCACAGTTTAATCGATCGAAATCCATTTTCAGTTTAAAAACCTTTGAAATCGGTTATTTTTTGTGGCTTAATAGATTTTAACTGATTAAAACTAAAATGATCCGATAAAATCAAAAACTTGCTTATATTTAATCAGAAAATGCGGCATTTAATCGATTTTTCCCTTTTCTCACAGAAGAACCGAGTTTAATCATATTTTTGATCGTTTTTTTTACATGGAATGGTAAGCAGACCACTTATGAAAAATATTCAAGAAGTAGAAAAAACATTTATTATAGAATAAATTATATTTTACAGATCGATCTGATGGTGCAGAAAATTGCATTGAATTAATCATGTATAAATATATAAACTAATGTGCGGGTCGACAGCGACGATAGAAGTTGTGACTACAAAGTTTCAGTGAGAGTGACTAATTCGTTTGATAATGTTTACTAATTATGAAAATCATCAAGAAAATCTCAATAGTAATGCATTAAATCAGCTTAAGTTCTACGTCGACAGACAGTTATTTCATTTTTGGTAAGATATCCTACTTTATCTGTACCAATAAGGGTGTGGGTGGGTCGGTGAATCTTCTTCAATCCCTATATTCACACCCTCTTTTTGGTTTATAGTTATAGTTGTTATTTCGAATGAATGAATTTAGAATTATGAACGACTTCATCAGCATCTTTTTAGTAATTTTCCTTTGCATACAAAAATAATCACAAGCAATATATGTGAAAAAGAAAACAGAACTGTGACCATTTGTAATTAACATTTTTTTTATTTTTATTTTTAATTCGAACGGCAGTCAAAAGAATAAGAAGCAAAGCAAGTAACAACGAAAAAGTCATGTTTGTATAATTGATGGCGTACATGAGTGAATGAATCATATCGAAGTGATATAATGTGTATATATTTCTTATTTTTCTATGCATTTATAAATATTCATATCTTATGTGAAATAAGAATATTGTCATTATTTAAAAAATAAAAAGTCTTGTTTAAACACAAAAGCGAACACATCTTGAGGGTGGGTGGGTGTGGGTATGGATATGAATGAATGTGCATACTAGACTGAGTGTGACTATCGAGATAGACCCACATCTTTTATAGAAGCCCGCTCGGAGTCAGAGTTTCTGTGTGGGTTCCGTTTTTTTGCCAGATTGCAGAATCTACAAAAATGTTGTATAAGACAACTTATTTGAAATTGGTTTTATATTTCATGCGTTTGTTTCTATAGTAAGAGCACTTATTTTTTATTAGTACTTCAGATAGTACGCTTCCATTAATGTTTCGCATTTTTTGTGTTCTTTGCATACATTTCCATATCATTCAAGAGGAATTAGAAATGCAAAAAATCGATCAATCAAGAAAATATCAAATAACTGATACATAATTAAATTGCTTTTTAAGTGTTACCTATGTCTTCAATAAGAGAATAAAATATTGACTAATCATTTACATATTTATTTACCTAAATAGAGTCTCAAGTTTATTAACTGCTGTTATTTTTTTGCTTACACTCCTGCTTCTACAATTGTAAAAGAACTTCCAGAATATGGAACTAAAACGTCGATTTATCATCATTATTTTGCTGCAAACATTAGGACCCAATATAGTTTGGAGTGTTCCAGTCAGCACCCAAAACACGACTCGTCCGTCATTACAAGCAAGAGATAATTTCGGCTGCGATTGGCTTCCTAATTTTGTAAGTTGTAGTAGCAAGGGTGCTTGCTGCGATATGCATGATCAATGCTATGCAACTCAAACACCTAAGTGTACATTTACATCATGGGGTGTTACAGGTGAGTGTGTAACTTCTTTTGGTATATGAACATAAAGATGTAAAAGTATTAGGCAAACAACTGATAACATATATGATGATTTAGTCAAATTCATTCCATCTTTAATAGATTATTTATTTTATAGATGATACGATCTCTATAATCGACAACGCAATAGCTACCATGGAGACGGCCAAGCAGTCTTTTCAACAGATAGGTAAAACCGATTACGCAGCAACCGCAGCGGCCAATGAAGAAATTCTTATAAAACAAAAAAACCAATGGATTGCATGTCGACAGTGTAATAGAGTTACTATGTCTTGTATGGCGAAATCCAATCCCGGCGTTAGTACATGCTGTACGGATGGAACTTGTGGACTGCCACGAACCAAATAGAAACTATCGCATGTCTTAAGAGGGAACCATTCAAAGTGTTAATCGTAAATTCAAACGAGACTTATCCCACTCAATAGAGTTCGACGAACCAATCGTACCAGTAATAAGCGTTTTTCCGATCGTATTTCTTTGAGAGCATAAGGGTGTGTGTGTGGCTGAGTGTGAGAGTGCGGATGTGAGTGTGTGGGTTAGTGGGTTTGTGACTCTGTATGACTGTGCGGGTGTGTGGAGGAGGGATGTAGGTGTTGGTGTTGGTGTGTTTCTTTAGATCACCTCTCGCCCGCACCCAGACCCATCCACACACTCCCAAGTGAAAAGTGAATGCACACTTGAAAATGTTTCCTTGTTAGTATTTCTATTTCGTTGCCAAAATTCATTATAAAGACAAGATCGTCGATCATTTTTCTTTGCATATAAAAAAATCATTTTCTTTCGGCTCATAACCTTACGAGTTACTATTGGCATTATATTTTCTATCAAATATAACGATTTACACAAAATGTTTGTTGAGAAGAGTAAACTAGGACTCTCATGTTTTTCTTCGCTTCGTGTTTCTATCTAAAATCATTATATATCTTATTCATCGATGCTGCTATTCTATACAATACAAAATTTATCTCATAATTGTTTTTCTCCTTCATGCATATTTGTAAGTTGTAAACCGATCCAAAATGTCATGTTTCTTCCTCAAATGAAATAATAATCTATTGTGCGATTTCAATTATATTTTGAAGGTTAAAAAAATGAATAAAACGAATTTGGATTTGGTCCTTATCAAAGATGATATTAAATGTAAAGGAACTCACTTTCTCGAGTGTATATAAAAAACAAGCAAATAATTGAAGACACACACAGATAATGTATGTTTAACAGTCGACTAATTGTTGTATTGCTTGTAAAAAGTTTTATTTGAACCTAAGTGCTGCATGCGAGATTAGAAGTTGTTAGGTAAACTTCATTTTTTCTTACACATTTTATATACCATATGAATCAAAAGTAAATTGAATGTCATAGAGGAGACATTACCTACATATGTAAACATTGATTTTTCTCATATGACACCTACATTTCGATCCGCATTCATGCATACACACATCTCTCATGTATCCATAATCAGAGTGACTATGGACATTAAATGTGATCAAACCACCATGCGAGAGACCGTATCCACTATGGGATAGAAGATATTCTAGGAAGTTTTTTTCAGTGATTTATAAACAAATATACAGCATAGATATAGGAAAGGAATTTTTAACTATCATAATAGATTTTTCTTTTTCAGACTAAATGCTTCGTGTTTTGACACTTTTCCATCTCGTCGGTATAGTACTGCTTCAAAACGTATTAGCATCACCTAATGATGATGAAGATGGTATATTTCAAGTCGCAGTGCGTACTAATAACATCGGTCGAATTAAATATGAAGATGGTGAAGTGATCCTTTCGCAAAATCAACACAAACCAACAGATATCTTCTTCACACCATTTCCTCGCATTAATCCGACTGACAATGAGTGCCGAGAAAATCTACTAAGCGACCATATGGAGCTGGTTTTATCGGTCGGACTCTATACTCCTAAATTGATTCGAGCGGTAGATACTTATATGAAAGAGCGTTTTTCAGCACTTTGTAAATTAAACGGAACGTGTGATATATCTTTATTGCCGATGAACGCTATTCGACTCGTTCAAAAGGGATTGCGAACGAATAAAGCTCGACAACAATATACAATTAACGATGAATGGCATTCCAATACCCTTCTTCTACAAACAATTGAATTCATTATATATACGGCAAATAAAAGCGTTTGCGAAAAACTTCGTTCATCGATTGCTGAACGGTGTCATTTGTCCAACTTCGAAGTACGGTATTCTCTTCATGCGGAAAAGGCAATTGAACGACAAGTAGAGATCACTTCCGAACAAGTCACGAATACATCGATGTTCAATCGAATTCGATCCCAATTTTCAAGAGCCGACATGGTGGTATTGACTGGCAGTGATTTCAAACAGTTGATCAGTGAAGTCAGTGACAGTATTAGTATGAAAGTTCGGATACAAGAAGGCTTCGATAGTCAATTACAAGAACCAATTGGTCTCGATAAGCTACTTGAACGACAACTTCAGTTTAAACAGGTTAGAACACGATGACTTTTTTCTGGGTTCATCGGATGCATCGGGTATACCCATAAATAACATGCTTTTTCTTCGAAATCCATTCCGAGAGTCTAAGTTTTAGAGTATTTTCAGGCAAGTCATTACTTTTAAAATCTATTTTAAACTACGTCAGGTACAATTGAACAAATTGAGCGATCAACTGTGGGACTCACTCTATTGGACACCCGAACTAACTCGACCTGATCGTTTGGCTAAAGCAATCAATACAGTCGTTCGAAAAAACTCGACCGACGGTAATCATTTCCTCTACGACTGTCAAGCAGCTAAGAATATTCACAAGCTCGATTTAAATCAACATGATATCGATCGATTTGAACAACTCGATAAATTACTGACAAATCATCAGCACTCTTCATCATCGTCTAATACTGGCGGAGGCAGCTTTCAAGCGAGTGGAGGATTAAGCTTTCTTGGCCTCCGACTCGGTGGCAGTGGCGGTAGAACTAGCCAATCTGAGTCGCAGCACTCTCAAAACAACCAAGGAATGAACGATTCGATGTACAACAAAAAAGCAGATAGAAACCATTTGAATTCAACTAATATCCTGTCAAACAATGATACACAATATGTACTTTCACGTGCTGATGTCGAAAAGTACCTCAGCGAACTATCCGATCACGTTCATCTAGAAGGTGAAATCGTTCTTCCCAAATCGATCGATGCCCACCTTATTAAATTAAATGAACTACGAGCCGAGACGAAGCTCGTTTCACATACTGTTTTGGTTCGTACCCGAAGTAACGTTCATGCCTTACCTCTTCGATGTCCACCGAAGGAGAACATCAAAAACACGACTGTTAACAGAACAAATTACTATGGATGGCTTGAGAATAAAGTCGATCAGTTAACAGCAGCTGTCGAACAGCTGACGAAGCAATTATCAAAAATCAGCAATCAAACTTCAGACAGTGTTGCAAAATTTAAAAATGAATGTACAAATCAATTGGCCAAAACGAATGATCGAATCAATGCATTTAAAAACGAATGCACAAATCAATTGACCAAAACGAATGATCGAATCAATGCATTTCAAAACAGTAGCATCCACCAGCAGAACGAGATATCCAATCTAACCACAAAAACTCAACGTACACTCAGTGCACTGAGCGGAAAACTAGAAAAGCGAGTTGTCAATCTGGAAACGGCGGCTCGGTCAAAACCGAAAGGTAAGTTACAATTTTTTTTCACTCAAATCATAAGAAAAGTTTGGCAACTCTTAAAGTAAATTATATCAAGGGTCAGAATCGATAGAATTATTGATAAGTGTCTGAAAAATAGATGTATCGCTATATGTAAACCTGGTTTCACAATTTTCCCGTGCAGTTTCTTTGGCATGTTTCTAGGCATACTTAAATAGCACAGTACTGGTTTTACCAGCTTGTGCATGACCTTTCGCTATAGATAGCACTACTATTGTGGGTGTGGATGTGGGTGTGGTTGCGGGTGTCTCCTCTTCTAACACCTACCGTCACCCACATCCACAGCCTACTTGATCACTCTTGGTTTTAGTGGGATATAGAGCTCAGATGATAACAGATCAATAGTACCATACGTATACTATCACTGGTAAAAAAATTACATTTTTCTGATAATTAACTGAAGCTACTAAAACAAGTAGGAATCGAGGCTTTCTATAGTTAAACACGTCCATATATACACAAATGTAGTGCTAGTAGAAGAAGTATACTCTTAACGCAAACTGGCCTGCTACTCATATATACAAGATTTGTGGGAATAAATTAGTAGTTTTATTGATCATGTATCGATTAATACCCGCTTGTGTGCATTAGTTCTATTACCACAATTTTCAAATGCTAACCCGTATTCTCTTCATAGATGGATTGTGTCAGCTTGGCCTTGGTCAAACGGTGGTCAACATCACAAAAAACATATCAGGCAATAACATTTATCTTGATGCCCTGCAAGGTCGAAATGTTGGCTGTAGTGGAGTACCACAATTCTTTTTCGCATATCAATCTGCTGACAGGTTCTTCTTGAATACAGTTTCACCAAATTTCGTCAAGATTCCAGGACTATCGCTTGTTTTTCATCATACTAAACCTTGGTTATACAAGATTCGATTACAAGGCCACATCTACACTGCATCTCTTGGCACACAATATTACGTGCGATTTATGATCGATGATCACCTCCTAATTTCAAATAAACTGTATCCCAATACTGAACAACGTCTAAGCATGCAGCTACCTGTAGGTAGTTATAATATGGAGACTTTAGATTGGCGAGGGGGTGTTTTTTTATTCACTGATTCATCAAGAGCCACTGTGCCTGTCTCAAAGACCGAAACTGTGTACCTTCCGGCAGGTGTACACTCAATTGATGTTGTTAGTCGCACCACTAACCAAATGCAAGCAGAAGGGTTTGAGCTCTCCGTAGAAGTCATCGAGCTGATGGGAGAATCAACAACCAACCTGCCTCTTTTGTATCCTAATTAGTAATACAAATTAAGTACACTCAAAGACATTACTTTTCTTCTTTACTTCTTCAATAAATAAGAAAATTATTCCCAGCTATTTGATAATGAATAAATTATGCACTTCTTTTAAGCTGTGACAATACAACAAAAGAAAAGTAATTACCGTCCTCGAAACTTGAGAGTGGGTGGGTGTGCGTGTCGGTGAGGGTGTGGATGAGAGTATGGGTGAGGGTGTGGGCGTGGATGAGTGAGTGTGGATGGCTGGGTGAGGGAGCTTCTTTTTCATCACCTACACCCACCACAGCCTCAAAATTTTGAGTGTGTGTGTATGGGGGAGGGAGTGTGGGTATCGGTAGATGTGAATGCGGTCGTGAGTAGATTATGTTCATTACCCACGCATCCTAGTGAAACTTCAACTATAAATAGTTAATTTTGTGCAAAGATGAGTGTACAAATGTCTCAGAAGAATAGTACTTACATATGTATCTGTTATCTTTATTATGGTCGCGTCTAAAACCATGGTCGTAATCATGATTTTCTGCTTTTCACATATGGTGTTTTGAATTATGATGAAACAAATTTACGGAGAAAGAACGATTAAATATACGTTGAGAGCGGGTTTAGAATCTTTCGTGTTAGATTTAAGAAGCACCTTGGCATCTTTATGTAAAAAGAAATTTGTTGAAGGTAGGTATAGATACGGGTGTAAATGTGAATGACAGTTAAGCATGGCACCGACACCCACACCCGCAGTTAATCATGATTAAAGAAAATCATAATATGTAAGATATGAGAAGAATAAAGAAAGCAAGAGAGGATCTGGAACGGTATGTTACAATAATACACTGTAATATAGTCCCCTAATGAAAAAAATGTTGTTCTATCTACATTTTCAAGGGATATAATAGAAGAAAACAAGTAATAATGATAACAGTGAAAAGAAATAATATTGAATTAAAAAAATCATAGAATAAGCACATAAAAAATTGGCAATTTGTTTTGCTCTTTGTGCTGTTCTTGTTTATCTTTGGTTAGTCGAATTTCAAACAGCAGAATCAACATAATCAGCTGTTTCCCTCTTGGCGACCCATACTTATATTACAGCTACACCCTTCTAATATAATAATTTGTTTAAGAACTTGAACATGGTGCAATTTTTTTAAGACATTTTTTAAGTGCATTTTGGTTTCTAAGGAGCGAGCATAGCAATGCAAGTTATCAAGGTTGTTTTGCATTTGTTTAATGTACTACTATACACTGTCGTTTATACATTATATTAAAAGCTTATCTTTTAGTGAAAAATATCACTTGCAATTGTAAAAAAGAAAGAAAGATACATTATACTTATATGCTGTTGCACTCTTACTTTAAAACGTTTGTAAAGTATGAATACAATAAACAAACATTGATAGAATAAGATAAAGATAGAGAGACTGATTCTGAGTGGAAAAGAAGAATAATGCAAAGTGGATAAAACACTTCCTTGACGCCTATATACGCATTTTCTTTAGAACAGAATATATTTATATAAAGGCATTGTTTTTAAAACAACCATATCGTAAAAGTAACACAACTAACTTTGTTTGTTTCCTATAATGAAACCTAACATATGGATACTGTACCTTCTGTTTACCCACTTGCACTGTGTATGTCCAATTTTCTCTCAGAATACGGAGCAAGCGTATTTCTATATTATACCAAACAGTGTTTACATTCCACAGTTATCATCCAGTTTTATAATTAATTTAACCTCCAATACAATATCGAGTAAAACCAAATGTGCACACAAATGTTTAACATATGCAATGTGCCAAACTGCAACCTACTATGAACAGATACAAATCTGTTCATTGTATAGTGAAAAGTATAGTGTTGGACAAATTTTAGGTGGAATCAGTCAAGCAAGTTCTGTGTTAGAAATGAACAGTCGTGTACCAACAAGTAAGCGTTCTTGTTTGTTAACATCAATTTCTTTATTTGTATTCTTTGACGATCTTTTTATAGTATGTGTTCTATCTTCTCAATCAACTTGGTCACACTCTGCTATTACATTAGCTGGTAATTCTGCAGGCATCTCTGGTTCTGACGGATCGCATCTCAATACTCCAATTCCATTTTATTATGATCAACCTAATAATCTCATAATTGTTGGTGATAATGGTAATAGTCGTGTTATACAGTTTCATCTCAACAATCCATCTTCAAATGGAACGGTGATTGCTGGTGGTAACGGATATAGTTGTACTAGTCTCAATCAATTTCACAATACTGTTGGTATAGCTCTTGATAGCTCTCGCCATTTATATGTATCAGATTCGGGTTGTAGTCGAATCCTTATGTTTCCACCAAATTCAAATTCATCAACATTTGGAGTACTTATCATTTCTCTGAGTATACCCGAGGGGATATTTATCAATCCATTAACTGATGATCTCTATGTGGCTGTGTATAGCACATCTTCGGTGGTTATGATTGCGAAGAATAGTACAGTTAGCGTGGTTGTCGCAGGTAAGCA